CTTCACTAATTTGGAAAAAATTCACGAATGTTAAACTTGTTTGTGAATTTAAAAACTATTCATGAATTTTTTAAACGTTCACAAATTTGAAAAAAAAAGTTCAGGAATTTAAGAAAGTTCACGAAGTTCAAAAAAGTTCACTAATTTTAAAAACATTCTCTAATTTGAAAAAACTTCATGTATTTACAAACACGAATTTGAAAAAAAAACGTATCTGAAAAAGTTCATGATTTCGCAAAAACAATCGTAGATTTGAATAAAACAAATTCACAAAATTAAAAATGTTTTTTAATTTTAGAAAAGTTCATGAATTCTTAAAAAACCATGCATTTTAAAAAAACAAAATTTGAAAACGTTGATGAAGTATATGATAAAGTTGGCGGATTTTTAGAAGTTCTTCAATTGTGAAAAAATCTTGAGTTTTAAGAATTTTTCAAAAATAGTGAAAATACAAAATAAAAAATACAGAATGAAAAGAAAAATGAACATAAACCGCTGGAATAATCCATAGAAACAAATGTCGAAAGGAAAACAAACGTGTGTATAAAAGCGCTGCCTTGATGGGCCGACCAACTAATAGGAGGCCTATGTCTGCTAGGAGTGTGCGTCAGTTTGATTTTGCCTATAAGTGGCGCACATGACGCCGAATAAGAATTGAGTAAACTTTGTGGATTGCGTGGCTCATGAACTGGCTAGATGAGCAAGGATAAATTCTCAGTGGTACGAAATAAAAGAAGAAAAAAAATCACGAATATGAAATGTGAATTTGAAAACTATTCATGATTTTTTCTAAAATTTCACAAATTTGAAAAAAAAGGTTCAGGAATTTAAGAAAGTTCACAAAGTTCAAAAAAGTTCACAAATTTTAAAAACATTCTCTAATTTGAAAAAACTTCATTATATAAAAATAGACGAATTTTAAAAAAAATGTATTTGAAAAAGTACATGATTTTTCAAAAACAATCATAGATTTGAATAAAAAAAGCTCAAAAAATTATTACTTTTGAATTTTAGAAAATTTCACGAATTTGAAAAAAAGTTCATGAATTCTAAACAAACCATGCATTTAAAAAAACGAAAATTGCAAATGTTGATGAAGAATATGATAAAGTTGGCGGATTTTAAGAAGTTCATCAATTGTGAAAAAAATCTTGAGTTTGAAGAAATTTTCAAAAATAGTGAAAATAAAAAATAAAAAGTACAAAATGAAAAAAAATGAACATAAACCGGTCGAAAAACCCATAGAAACAAATGTCGAAAGGAAAACAAACTTGTGTGTATAAGTGCTGCCTTGATGGGCCGACCAACTAATAGGAGACCTATGTTCGCTACGGGTGTGCGTCAGTTTGATTTTGCGTATAAGTGGCGCACATGACGCCGAATAAGAATTGGGTAAAGTTTGTGGATTGCGTGGATCATGAGCTAGATGAGCAAGGATTAATTCTCAGTGGTACGGAATAAAAGAAGCGTAGACGGCTTTTCTAAAAAGTGTGGCTAGACCTTAGTCGATTGCGACTTAAGTAAGTCTCAATCAAATGACACAATGAAAAAGAAAGAAAGAAAAAACTAAAAAAAATTGCACGAATCTCCATGCTACATCTCACGAATATTGCATCGACTTGACATAACCAAGTCTTATCAACACTGTTCCAAAAAAGATGATTACATGTAAACCAATTACGGGCCGCCTGAAACAAACGCAAGTGTAATATTTTCTAGTTACGTTGTAACCCGATTACATGTTTATTTCCTGAAGCAAAGACGTTCCCCGGCTGCTAGTTTGGGATACTACGTGGTACATGGTGATACTCCGACCGCAGTTGGTCTCGTACGGCATACTAGTTGGGACTTCGGACCAGTGCACGTCACGGCCGTCCGATCTGAATCGAAAACAGTTACCGTACCACGTCAAAGTTGTCAGTATGCGTCTCCACCGTTGGATCTGAGGTCGAATCGACTTGCGCGCCAAACTACCTCCCTGCCGTGTCGGCCTCGCCCACGCCAATCAGAACCCGATCACGACTCCAGGCCGTGACGAGCAGGCCAGTATATAATCACCAGCCGACACCCAGCAAAAGTCCAAAACCACAAATCGATCCATCGATCGAAACAAATTGCCACCTCGTACGTACGAGTACTCGACGAGACGAAGACGGCGATCTAAGCCGAGCGCCGCGGCAGCCATGGCAGGTCACGGAGCGGCCGCCGCAGCGGTCGCCTTGGTGCTCCTCGTCATCTTCGCCGCCTCCTCGCCTGCAGCCGCCGCCCACGTCGACGAAGCGGCTGAGCATGGTGCGCGGGGGCTGACGCGGCGGACGGAGACGGATGTGCGGGCGATGTTCGACGCGTGGCTGGCACGGCACGGCCGCTCCTACAACGCGCTCGCCGAGTACGTCCGCCGGCTCCGCGCGTTCCGGGACAACCTCGACTTCGTCGACGCCCACAACGCCCGTGCCGCGCAGCGCGGCGGGTTCCGCCTCGGGATGAACCGCTTCGCCGACCTCACCAACGCCGAGTTCCGCGCCGCCTACCTCGGCGCCGGCGCCGCTGGCAGGGCCGGCAACGCCGTGGGCGAGCGCTACAGGTACCATACCGAGGACGTGCTGCCGGCGTCCGTGGACTGGAGGGAGAAGGGCGCGGTCGCGCCCGTCAAGAACCAGGGCCAGTGCGGCAGCTGCTGGGCGTTCTCCACGGTCGCCGCGGTGGAAGGCGTCAACAAGATCGTCACCGGGGACCTCGTGAAGCTGTCCGAGCAGGAGCTCGTGGACTGCTCGCGCAACGGGCAGAACAGCGGGTGCAACGGCGGCATCATGGACGACGCCTTCGACTTCATCGTCCGGAACGGCGGCATCGACACCGAGGAGGACTATCCCTACACGGCCAAGGAGGGCAGGTGCGACCTCGCCAAGAAGGCCCGCAAGGTCGTGTCCATCGACGGCTTCGAGGACGTGCCCGCCGACGATGAGGCGTCGCTGATGAAGGCCGTGGCGCACCAGCCGGTGAGCGTCGCCATCGAGGCCGGCGGGCGCGAGTTCCAGCTCTACGAGTCCGGGGTATTCACGGGGCGGTGCGGCACGGAGCTTGACCACGCCGTACTCGCGGTGGGCTACGGCACGGAGGCGGCGGACGGCGGCAAGGACTACTGGCTCGTGCGCAACTCGTGGGGTCCGGGCTGGGGCGAGGGCGGCTACATCCGGATGGAGCGCAACGTGACCGCGCGCGCCGGCAAGTGCGGCATCGCCATGTTCGCGTCCTACCCCGTCAAGACCGGTCCCAACCCGAAGCCGGCACCACCGGCGCCGGAGGAGAAGTGCGATCGCTACAGTTCGTGTCCGGCGGGGAGCACGTGCTGCTGCACGTACGGCGTGAGGAACGTGTGCCTTGCATGGGGATGCTGCCCGGCCGAGGGCGCCACCTGTTGCAGGGACCGGGCGACCTGCTGCCCGTCGGAGTACCCCGTCTGCAACGCTGGGAAACGAACCTGCGCCAAGAGCAAGGGAAGTCCGTACGCCGTGGATGCGCTGCCCCGGACGCCGGCGAAGCTACAGAGGACGGCGGTCTCAGAGCTTGTTGATTCGATCTTTTCGATCTAGGCGGTTTATGTTTACAGCTTTTTGTTCTCATAACGTAGCAGTCATTTTTTTTTCCGAGAGTCATTGTAAGTACTCATATATTATTAGGAGGAGTCATTATTGTTCCAATGGTCATTGTAAATACAGTATAGTTTTAGAACAAGTCATTGTAAAAAAAAAAGCCATTGTTTTTATATACATTACCTAGTTTTTCTTTTCTTTAATAAGGAGTGGTATATGATCATGGCCATTGTTCCTAATATGATCCACGGTAAGAGATAGAATTGAGGGAGGTGAAACTACAAACCAGGAACTACCTTCATGAACTTTGCTAGCTAGCTGGGCCAGTTCATGAGCAATAGAGTTCGCCACATGAAACTTGTTCAAAAACCACTCTGGCAAAATCTGAAGTCATGAAATAACAACCGTTAAGCACTGTTGCTGCACCTCCTCAATCTATTTTAACCAATTGAACCAGCAAGCAGCAGTCCATCGTTCAGAGCCATAGCTTCTACTGAAACGACATCGCTGATAATTTGGAGTTTTCTAGTCGCAACATTACGTCCGGCCCACTAATCCGCCAGTCCCGGGAGCCCGTTGATCCCATCTTTTGTCCATATGGTCATTACCCAAAAGTTGGTTTGCCAATGATTTATGTATGTGATATGATCATCAAAATTTTGAAATTTGTGCTTATTGATATTCTTGGTGACAAATAACGAATAATAAAGGTACGCAAGGATTGAAATGTTTAAATATTTGGATTATGCTAGATTATGAACTCTGGGATGTGCAAGAGATTTGAATGTGAAATATTCAGACAACAAAAGATTTCTAACCAGTGGAAAGTATCATTCTCATGGTGACAAATTATGAAGTGTGAAATTTTAGAATCTTTGAGCGATATAGACATCCCAAATGTGAAAATATACAAATTGTGTTGCCTTCCTCCAATAGTTGTTATTATTTTCCAAAAAGGTGCTTAAGGTGTAAAAGTAATATTGCCAAATTAAGTTAACCATTTTTAGTATCTAATACAAACCGTCCACCATCCACCGTGTGTGACAGATATGTTGTATTTGTTATATGTGGATTTTGTGCAACCGAGGTTTTGCACAAACCTGAAGTTAAGTTGGGTGGCTAGAATGACATGTATGAATATATTTGTATTTGTTGTACGTGGATTTTCTGCAACCGCGGTTTTGCACGAACCTCAAAACTAACTTGGGTGGCTAGAATGGCATGTATGAATATCTTTGTAGGAACAACATTTTAATAACACAACATACATTGTTCAGCTTGTGAATCGCTAGAAAGTTGAGTTTTCTAGAAGATTCATTATCATTATCACATAAATAATGGTATAAATTCCATGTGTGACACATTTAACTACAGCTAAAGCACTCATACAATTTTTTTTCCATCAATTCAAACTAGTGTTGCTAAAATACAAAGGGGAACGACCTTAGTAAGTGTGAGGCCAAACTTATCTTCCATGTCAATTCCATCCCTTTCCATCTCAGCAGGGAGACTCCACTTAAACTGATGTAACAACGAAGCGAGGATCAGATGCACCATCCTAGTTGCCAATGTCATCCCAGGGCAGATCCGATGTCCGGCACCAAAAGGAAGGAGCGCAAAATCAGCACCTCTAAAGTCAATTGTGGAACCCAGCAGGAACCTTTCCGGCATAAATTTCTCAGGTTCATCCCATACATCTTTATCTCGACCTATCGCCCATACGTTTACGAAAATGCGTGAACCTTTCGGTATTGTGTAGCCTGCTATTTTCAGTGCTACCTCAGGTTGGCGTGGCAACAAGAGTGGAGCAGGAGGATGGAGTCGAAAAGTCTCTTTTATGATAGCTTGCATATAGGGCAACCGAACAATGTCAGCCTCTTCAATGTTTCTTGTTGGGCCAATAACTTGTTCAAGCTCATTACAAGCCTTAGCCAATGATGATGGATTTTGGAGAAGCTCGGTCATTGCCCATTCCACTATGCTAGAGCTTGTGTCACTGCCGGCGGCAAACAAATCCTAACATGCAAAGTCACATCAATATAGTCTGGCAGATGTAGTTATCTAGATACTCTAAACAAGCATCACATAACGTACAATGGATAATTTGCTAATCTGCTATACAACAATGAAAAATTGTTTTGTGGTGCACATAGCAATACTGTATGGATGAATTATATAAGCAATAATTCCAATATTTTCAGCGTTAGATTTGATATTCTTCCCATTGTGTTATAATAGAAGAAGCCATTGTGCATGGACTTATTTTCGTCCGCGTTGGATGAAGTGCAGTCCATGTAAGGGCTGTGGTGGGAATTTGAAATGCGGCAAAATACAATAAGACTTGGTTGAAAAAAAGAAAAAGCATATGAATTTGAGTTTTAGATGATTCTATCCCATGCCTCCAAAAAAAGAGAGAGATGATTCTATCCTTATAAAGGAAAATTCCAACGCTGTTCCTTGTATCTCATGAATAGATGCCATAATTCCTACACAATTCCTAAGCAGAGACTACTCTGTAGGGGGTTTAGCGGCAGAGATATGAGCTTTTGAATTTATCAGCGTTCATGTTCTCTGTAGCAAACTTGAAAGTCTATTACTATCTATAGGAATATATTTGTTTGTTTCAATCTAAAAATGCAGATCAAACGTATATTGAGTAGATTGATTTGAATGTAGAAGGCTATATTACCCTTTTTGACTAAAAGGGGTAACTTCTAATCTCTGTCTTTAATCTGCATCAAAATCTGCAAAACTTTTCTAGGGGGCACTGAAGCAAAGTTCTTAGATACTCCATCATTTGTTTGATTTGATCCTCGGCCTGCTCCATCGCCATGGCTAGCCATGTGAATTTCTATCTCTCTATTTTGTTGCAAACTGAAACATCAACTGCAATTGCAAAACAGAAAACAAAAACAAGTTGTGGAGGTTACCCTGAAAAGTGAGCGTAGCGTCTGGCGGTCGAGCAGGTCCTTGCCATCCTCATGCGCCGCCACGTCGAGCAGCACGTCGAGAAAATCGTTCTTCCTGGGCTGGCCGGCGTCGCGGCCGCGTAGCCGCTCGTCCATCTCGGCGTCGAAAACCACGTGTAGGCGGGAGAACAGCCTCTCCAGCCGCCGGCGTGTGCCCTGCAGGTCGGCCGGCGCGAGCACCGGGAAGAAGTCCGAGACGTTCGGGGCCCCCACGGTCTCCATGATCCCCGTCACCACCTCCTGGAACTCTCCGGAGCGGTTGTCGTCGTCGAGGCTCGTGAGGTCGTGGGAGAAGATGGTGCGGGAGAGCAGGTTCAGGCTGGTCGTGAAGGCCACGCGCCCCACGTTCACCGGCTTGCCGTCGCTCGCCAGCCGCGCGACGTGGTCCATGAGCTCGCCCACCTTCTCTCTCCGGAGGTGGTGGAGCACGTCGAGGCGGTGCGGCGCGAAGAGCTCCGTGGCCATCATCTTGCGGAGCGCGCGCCACCGCGGGCGCCGGGGGCAGCCAGGGCACGGACCCCGCCGCGTGCATGCTGGTGGCGTCGGGCACGGACCGGGTGGCGAACGTGGCGTCGTGCCGCTGCAGGATCTCCCGGGCCATGGCGGGGGAGGAGGCGACCACCGTGGTGACCGAGCCGAGGCGGAGGGACATGAGCGGGGCGCAGTGGGTTCTGGACAGCCGGGCGAGGGAGCGGTGCGGCTTGTCGCCGAGGAGGTGGAGGCTGCCGATGAGCGGCAGCGGGCGCGGGCCCGGCGGGAGGCCGGAGCGCGCGTGGGTGAGGAGGTTGAGGAGGTACACGGAGAGGAAGGAGACGGCGAGCCATGCTAGCCACGGCACAAGCACCGCCACGGCCACCATTATTGCTTCCTTTCCCTTGTGCAACTCGGCCGGCGGCACAGGAGTCTCTGATAAAACTGCTAGCTAGTCAGTCACGCAACGCTATTTATGCTGCTCCATCAGGATCTTGGTGTGGACTGGGGAGCTGGGAGTGGAGAACAATCTAGTCTACTCCCTCCGTCTAAGTGAGTAAGTCATTTTAGGTTGTGCACCGTGATCAAGGAGGAGGGGAAAACAAGAAAACTTAATGCTCATTTGCTAATTAATAGCATTGCATGCAATGAACTAACCACTGCATGTCGTGTTTGGTAGTCTCAAGTCATTAAAAGCATGCACACCTTACTTCTCTTATTGGTCGATATGTCAAGAAACAAGAAACGAGGTAGAATTTAATGCACCGCGCCTAAGTATTTTGGGATTATTTGGTTTTCGTAAGATGACTTACACACCTAGACGAAGGGAGTAGATGGTTGGTGACTCCCATTTACGAGTAATAATTAGCATCGAGCAGCTGAGGAGTTGGTTGGTGATGCCATTTTTTTCTGGCGAGGCGAGCTGAGAACCATTAGACTATCCACAACGAAAGTAACATAGATGGTAACATCATATTCCCTTCATCAGAAAATATTTGTAAAAGAAATGAATGTATCTAGACATATTTTAGTTTTAAATACATTCATTTTTATCCATTTCCGCGAAAAATAATTCCAAAAGGAGGGAGTACATATTTAGACAAAATGAAAAAAACATTAACTGAAATCAATGAGAAGATGTAACACATATGTTACCACGCGGGAAATTAATGTACATGCTCTATCTCTGGTCCCGCCATGCATCTATGACATGTACTTTAACTGCCAACCTCCGGTCGTACACTCCATTTACTACTCACGCGGTTACGTTTCTTCTTGAGCACACTAAACTCCCGCCGCAATCATTTATTAGCAGTTTAGTAGGAGTACTACATTCTTCTATCACTAATCAACTAACACTGAATGCCCTATACTCCCCATAAAAAATCAGAGTCATCTAAAAGAAGAACAATACTTGGATTGATATGCCTTAATATATAACATGGCTTAGAACTTACCCGTGTTTGGTTTATCTGGGAGACAAACCCGCTCAAAGGATCTTAACTCGTGTTTGTGTAAGCATCAACTTCTCACTTAACAGGTTTTCCTTTTAAAAGAAAATTATTGCAAGCGCAGGTGACATTTATTGAGAAACAACTCGTGTAGTACTTGTGATGCTAATAGGCCTAATAAACCCAGAGGGAGAGAGTATCTGTTACATTACAGGCACAATGAATTTGCTAGTTACAGATACATGATACATAGGAACTCAATGACACAGATTCAGGGTGCGACGTCGCCGAGAGCCATTCGTCCGCCTCGTATATTCATGTTAGTATTCTAAGTTACTCGCCATTGCGGCTAGTCTTAGCACATTAACCTTGGTGACGAGGAAGAACAAGGAGACGAGGAGCCATGCTAGCCAGGGCACAAGCACCGCCAGGGCCACCGTTATTGCTTCCTTTCCCTGCTGCAACTGGCCGGCGGCACTGGAGAGGCGTCTCTATTTATTCTGGCTCCATCTTGGACTTGGTATAGTGAAGCCTGAGGGAGGAATGAAGACCAAATCTACTCCTAGATGGGATTTTGCATCGAGGAAAACCTGCAGCCGACGTGTTGCTAGATAAGGTGACGTACCACCTTATCCAATCTACTCTTTTTCACACGATGATGCACCACATAAGATTACTGCAACGCCGTTGTTGGCGGCTGGAAGATTTTGCTGGAGCGTGGCAAAGTCCACATTTGTAGATTTGAACAACGTACGTATGTACACGTAGGGCCTCTTTGGATTGAAGGATTTTCATAGGAATATTGGAGGATTCCAATTCATTGGATTTTTTCCTAAAAAAGCCCTTTGAATCAAAGGAACCACACCTCCAAAATTCCTATGGATGCATTCCTACACCTCAATCCTATAGGAATTTCAACATCCACTATAACCTCTTTTTTACACTGATTCGCGTAGGATCGAGGCACTTTTTCTGTGTTTTTTCTGTGTTCCATTCAAATGACCATTCTTATAGTTTTTCTTTATTTTGTAACCCTCTGTTTTGCACCTACAATCCTGTTAAATTCTTGTGTTTTTTGAATTCCTTTGTTTTCTAATCCTGTGATCCAAAGAAGCCCGTACTCCTCTCGATTGTTCAGAATCTATGACCATAACGTACGGGAGAGAGAAAAACAACATTATCCTTGGACCTCTGGATATCACGTCACAATCTTTGGATCTTGCGAGCTCGATCGATCGGTAGATATGTCGGCATGCATAAAAATATATTGTATTTTTTTGAGGGGCATAAAAGTGGATTGTTTATTCTGTGGTGCTGCCGACCGCCTGCCGTGGCCAAATGAAGTTGCATTAGCTGGGAATAAAATATGGGATAGAATCCAGCTACATCTGGATCGGACTCTTGTAGTGTGCAGCCCTGTAGAACGGTCGCCCAACCGGCTCCACCTGCATCCGGTGGTGCAACTGCAAGCCGGCGCTCTTCCGTTGAATTTGTGATGCCCACCCGCCCTCACCGCCTCACGCACGCAAAGTCTTTTCCTGCTTCTTCCTTGGCCTTTACTCTCTCCCGATAAGCCTGAAAAAACAAACAAAACTCTCCCGGTAAGGTCCACATAGTACGACTTTCTCAAAATTGCATAAACAGCTCAACCACCCCGCCATGTAGGAGAAGATGGCTCTTCTTGTAAACCTTTCCTAAAAGTAGGGAGAGGCAACCACAAAGATTTCACATCGCCTCCATGCCATCCGGCGAGCCGAGAACCCGATGACGACCCACGTCACCACCGCCAACAGCCTGCTTCCCAGCATGCCTAGCCCCACCGTCCGGTCTGTCCCTCAGTGCCACCCTGGCCGCCTCGCTAGACCTCTCCCGACCGGCCATCGCTTCCTCTCCTCCAGAAGGTAGTCGATGAATTTCTCATCCAATTTTTTTCAATATCTCGAAGAACTATCGTTGAGATTGTGTGTGCTTGCATTGCAGGTGAATTCTCTTGTTGGCTTGTTTTTCGACGACTCATCGTCAGATATATAACAAAATCCAGTATGATATTCAGATTCAGTCCATGAACAAGCTGAATGCAGCTAAGCGTCACAATATGCAGCCGTGAATAACACAAATTATATTCCCTCCATTTCAAAATTCTTGTCTTAGATTTGCCTAGATACGGATATATCAAATACTAAAACATGACTTGATACACCCGTATTTAGACAAATCTAAGACAAAAAAATTTGGGACGGAGGGAGTACACATTAATGAACTTCTTATGTCGCCTGCGCTTTTTATAAACCGATTCAGATAGTTTAGTTGCCTCACGATGCTGGACAATCATGAAGGGAAGTCATGCTTACAATAGTGTTGATCATAACGTCGTGTATGCTGGACTATGCTACATGCTATTCGTTGTTGCAGCATCAACATACGTGAGAATTTTCTCTTGCTAGCTATGACGATTCATTTCATGACAAAGGTGGCAGTGGTCCTATTGATTAGCTTTATTCAGGGCTGTCTCCAGAAATTTGGGGCCCCAATGCGAAATGGAAAAAGGGCCCTCAAATTTAAAGACTTACTATAACTAAAGAATCAATATAACTTGAGCATGTAACTGAATAACTATTTGAATCCAAGTCGGGTCGCTAGCGAATACAAGCGCAGAGTGCTCCCTGCTCCAATGCCCGACTTCATGCCGATGGCGATTGGTTGCATCGGGCATTCCTCAGGCGTTGGCTAGCGGATCGCACATCCTATGACCTATCAGAGTTCTGACTGTCAGTTTCTATAGAATATCAATTTTTTTATCATATAAGCATTCTCACGAACACCTTGCAAACTAAGTCAATTCATTCCACCTTATATACTCACAATATACACTGCAAAGCAAGTACTCATCATAATTCACAAACACAACATGCATTGGAAGCATAAATAATCTCAGTATATACAGAAATTGCACAATCATGGAAGGAAAAAATAAGAAGAAAGAAAGAAAGAAAGGAGCAGTAGGGACCGAGGGAGGGAGGAGGGAGGAGGGAGGAGGGAATCGGGTTACCTGGTCGGGCAACGGGAAGTCAGCCCATAATTACCGCTCGGGACGATCACACAGAGGGGAAGCTGGGTTGGATCCGAGGAGTTCAAGGCGCGGGGCAGGAGGGGAGCTGGGACAGGGCGGGGAAGATGGGGACAAGCCGGTGGAGAGAAGAATGGAGGAGGCCGTCACGGGCACGGCTGGCTGGGATGAGCGCTGGAGTGGCAAGACGGAAGCCGCAACCCTAGGCGCCCTCGTTCTCCTGATTCTGGTGTGAAGGGAGATGGGCGCTGCCTTGCTGGAGATAAAAGGCAAACTTGTACGCTCCTAGTTTCTTTTGTTTTATATATCGATTGGAACTGGTTTTTCACGGTTTTGCCTCTCGATCAGGGGCCCCGTGATTTCGGGGGCCCTGTGCGGTCGCACCGTTCGCACATGCTCGTCGACGGGCCTGGCTTTATTATATAGAAGTTGCCCTCCTAAGTTCCGGGAGAGAAAAACTTGGACGTTCGGTGCAGGCT